AACCCCTAACATTCTGTGATTCTGTGAAGAGATAATAAGGGTGAACACCTTGACAGTATTCCAGTAATTGAAAAGTGGAGGGCTAAAGAAAAAGCAATTTATGCCCCCAGCCCCCAACAGCACCAGTTCTCCCACTGTGAAAAGGAATCACAGAATGGTAGGGGTTTGGAAGGACCTCTGAAGATCATCTAGTCCAAACCCCCTGCTAAAGCAAGTTCACCTAGAGCAGGCACACAGGATTGTGACTGTGACTAGGCAGGTTTTGAATATCTCTAGGGAAGGAGACTCCACAACCTCTCTGGACAGCCTGTTCCAGTACACTGTCACTCTCAAAATAAAGAAGTTTTTCCTCATGTTCAGATGGAACTTCCTATGCTCTGGTTTGTGCTCGTTGCCCCTTCTCCTGTCACTGGGCATCACTGAAAAGAGCCTGGGCCCATCCTCTTGACACTCACCCTTTAGATAGTATATTTACACGTAGGAAACATTTAGATATAGGAAACATCACTACTTCTTTTATTAGACTACAAATACTTACAGTGTCTAATAACTCAATGAACTTGGAAAAGTAGTAAAGCCAACAAGTTCGTACCATCTGCAATAATAAAAACCAGAAATTGTCAAATCATAATAGTCATAAACAAAATTAAGCAGTTGCATGAAAAGTAACTAACTATATAAAGGAAAATATTGGGACAAGTAAGTGGTGCCACAAGGTCAATGGAAATATTTAAATGTACAGCTTGTTTGTTTTTTCTTTAAAAACACAAAAAAATTTTTAATCCTGAAAGAATTTTAAAACCAAGAAGAATAAGCCAACAAATTATGTTGTTTCTTTCTTTCTCCCAAACAATCAACCCCTCCAGTTAACTGACATGCTCTACATTATGCAAGACGGAATTTCCATTTAGTGCATTCCATTCTACAACAGCGTATTTGGTTGTTCAAAAAGCACTTCTAAAAATAAAGTCAGCGTGGCATAACAATTCGGCTTTGTCTTTGGCAACTTACTCTTAGAGCTGTAGGTGACCTCGAGTAGTCAACGAGATCGCATCGGAATGAGTACCCTGTGGCCCAACCTGACATAAGAAACTGAAGCAAAGAAAAGGGAAAGGCCAAAGTTTTACTTTATGTCTTTGAAAAATTCATTAATTTTGGATTACTTTTGCAATCACTAAGCAGGAGGGGAAAACAATATTAAAAACTTGTGGAATCAGCAACCTTGTTAATTATCTGCCTGTGTGGGCTAGCTACCATAAAATCTTTTGTTGTTGCAGATTAATGAATTTCTAATTCCACACCTATAGACAAGAACTTTCTTCCTACACCCGTTATTTCAGCATTAGTAACTGAAGAGGAGAAACAGCTGCATCCCAAAACCAACGTTAAAACAGCAATTTACTGTGTAAATCAAACCACAAAAATAAATCAAACATTTTGAAAATTTTTGAAAATTGCAATCACAGCAACCATCTTAATACTGAAAAGAAACAAGCAGAGCATCTTAATACTGAAAGAAAACCAGCACAACATAAAAATATGGCTTGATATCATTAAAGACAAGGATGAATCAATACACACTGTATTTTTTTCTATCATAGTTTCTAAAATTTTGCTTAGTTAAACTGCATGATTCAATTACTGTTTCACTGATATGAGCGATGAGAAGCTAAGGTTTACAATTGAGAGCACACGCATGACCAAAGGACTGTATATAATAAATATAATTTAATCTTTTCTCTGGGAATATACTAAAGCTCGGACAAGAGCAGCATTGATAATATTACACTTCGCTCATTCCCCTGACAGCTACTAGGACTTCTGTATCTTATATCTGTTTATAAAGTACTTCTCATCCATTGACCATCATCATCCACTCGTGCACGATAGGAGGTTCATCTCTCAACAGATGGAGGGGTTTAGGTTAGATAACTGCCTGAAAGAATCAGCTGCTTAAATAAAACAAAATTTGAAACACCACCAAGACAGCAAAATACTAAAGCACCCACCAAATGGCTTGATTCCAAAGAGGGAAAGAATCAGCTTTTTGCTGAGCATCAGACAATAGAAGAAATTCAATCTGTTACACTCTATCCATGCATTCTTTCATGAAATTGTAACATGGAAGTATGGACAGCAAATTAATTGAATGCTCATTATTGTCAGTCACTAACAGAAGTTTAATATTTTTTTTCTTTGAGGGTTATAACCAAAACGAAGCTAGGCATCAAATCACAAAAGGAAGCTTGGCGATTTTTCAAAACAAAGTCTAAATAGCAAAGCATGCATCTTGCCCACCGCTTTCCACACAACAGTCATGACACAAAATAGCTGCTGCTGCACTGCCTTTAGAGTGCTGTTAAAAGAAATGTCAAGCGGTTCACTGCAACTTATGATGAAATTTATGCAAATTGAGCTAACAGAAAGGTATCCTGCCAATTCAGCACAACAATCTGACAACTTTTCATTACCAGTTTGCTAAACTTGAAATAGTCACATTGCCAGATTTAACACAAAGAGGGTCAGTATTAGCATAGTGATGCTTCACCAAGCAAATGTATAAGGCTACCATTCACACAATACTATTGTTAAATATCTACAAGTAATTTTAATTTTGTAAATTACTTATGACAACACATCAAATATTTTACAATCTTTCCTTCTAGGTATGATTTATTCCCTTTTTTTGAGTATCAGCTCAATTAGTTTAGCATACTGCTTGGAGGAATATAATTACAAGAATGAGAATTAACAGGTTTTTTGAGAATTGCAGAGTGGGAATGGTATTAATAAAAAGTTATTAGACAGACACAAAATATATAAATACATTACAAATAAAAGCTGTACTTACTTCATAAGTCATATACAAAGAGAGGGCTACCACACTAAAATTATAAAATGCCATTATCTGCCTGAGTTCAAAAGGTTTTTTATTTTCCATGAGTTTAGGTCCCAAGGAAGTGACAAAATAAATGTAGGTTCCAATGATAAAGGTAGTTGGAAAAGGTGAAGACATGAGTGGCCAGCCTTCCAGTCTTGGATCTACAAAAAGGGAAATGGAGGGGGGGAAAAAAAAAATCAGATCTTTCCAGTACTTACTAAATAAGACAGCTACAGAAAGGTACTTAATTCTTAACGGTTTAGATTTTAGTGTCACTGATCATATTTCAGAGTTCATTCACCTCAAATCCATACCACCTGGACAACAAGATTTAGCACCTGTAGGATTCAATGCTTCTTTCTGCATCAGTTCTTCAGAAGAGGAGATGCAGAATCATGATTCTGTCTAGACCTCTCCTTCATGAAAAGTCTGCACTTTCACACATGAACGGGGCTCAGAGGACATCATAGGAAGGCAATGCACAAGCAGATCACTAAGGCTGCGTTTCCATGTGAGACTTCATTCTTCTGGAAAAGTTCAAGACCCAGACAGGGAGTTGCTCCACTTTTCAAGATACTTGAGCTTTATAAGCAGTATGACATTAGACATAGTAAGTATGGAAGTTAGAAGACCTTCTGTCTCAGCAGTTGGTACTCATAGATTAGTACTTGAGGCTTGTGCCTATTCAGTCCAGACACGTCACTACTTTCACAGCACCATCAAGTACACACTTTCATATTACAAGCCTCCAAAGGGCAAAAGTGTTTTAAGTTCCTCTCGTTACCCCAGACAGAAGTGTCGCAGAGAGCCTTCCTCCTATGCACCCCCTGCTCCTGAGGCTGCAGGTACTCTCTCTGAGCTTGAGCAGGATTCCACTGCACCCTTCTGTGGTTCATACTAGAGTCCCAGCTCACCAGAGACTTCCACATTTCTCCATCAGCAGGAGAACTAATACAAACTTCATATATTTTTTAATACATTTTAAAATTTTTTAATAAATTGTCTTTTTGAAGATTAATATGTGAATGACCCCAAACTTAACTATTGACTCAGTAAACTGCTGCTTTCATGGTTTGCTGCTGTATTTTGGGGGTGAAATTATACCACTACAATTTTTGTTAAGTGTTTAATTCATGGCCAAATGTCTTAAGTCAGTGATCTCCAACTCACAGCATTCAAGCAACCTATCTATCCATGAGACCCTCTGATGTTGTTTACAGCCACTGGAAGTTTTAAAAAGAGACCAAGGAGGAAAGCACATTAAAATGCTGCTCACAGCCTGTAATGTGCGTAGTGCTGCTGCCCACATACCAACATGGACTGCAAACCACAGCACTAGGCATCTATGTGTTGCACTGCAAGAGAATCACCAGCTCTTCACAACTGACTGCTTTTTCTTCATCCACCCCTTGCACTGGTACTACCAAAACTTTCCCACTGGTCTTCCCAGCTTGATCCTGAGGAAACCATGTCCCACCACTAACTATGCTTCAAGATGCCAAATACAAGCACTGGTAGGCAGGGAGATTAGAAACTCAAATTCTGAAGTCGTGATCACTGTAGTAGAAATGCTCCATCACTAGCTCCATCCCAATCCACTTCACCCCATGAGTCATACTGATGGAACTCCCTTCTCACTTGCACACTGTGGTTCTACAGAACAGGAAAAATGGGTCTCAGCTACACTGGAAGAGATAAATTAGTATTTTTATTGATCAAACCTTAACTGCTGCTCAGGTTTTCCCCAGGAATAAGATAATCCCTGTCACTACACGCCTACCACAGTGAGGAACACTCAGGGATGCCACTGTGACATGCATTAAGCCCAAACCTGAGACTTTCTCTGTCATTTTTTGGTAAGCATGCAAAACTATGGAACAACAACATTAAAGCAAAGTGTGTTTAATAGCCTCATACCAGCTACAACAAGAGACTAACATTCCTTTTCAAAACAGAACTGTGACAGAGTTAGTTACTCTCAGGATTAATTCCAAGATACTCTTAACTTGTCTGGGTTTTTATTTCTTTCACTTTGCAAAAGCAAAATACAGTAACACCATGTGCTTAGCTCAATTAACTGATAAAATACCATTGGTTGGTAATAATGAAAAAGAGTTAAAGCTTTATGTTCAGCAGCATAGGATAAAACATAAACTATACATTTAGGCTAGCCAGAAACTCTTATAGAATAATCACTGTCTGCACTTTATCTATATATTAGTTTGAGGTTATGCCCATAAACTAGCTGAGTTTTGCTTTTTTCCTTTTTTTCAAAAAGCAGAAACTAGTCTGCTCTTTATAGTTAAAAATGTTAATAGATAACATGGCAAGTCTTAGAAAATTTACTGGAAGGAAAAGCTACTTTAAGTTGATAAATAGCACACCTAGAACACCTATACATTGCTATTCAAAATTATTGAAAGTTAGTAAGTTCTAGATTTAAATGACTCACCGGCATCTTTAATCCATTCATCATACAGTAGTACAGCCTTTGATGTCAGATTGCTGAAGGCCATTTTCACTTGATTAAGATTTTATGATGCTGCCTGCAGGAAAACAAACCAAAACAGAAATACGGATTTTTGTAATGAATAAAATAAAGGTCAGCAAAGTGTTTTGGAAAAGATTTTCAGGAAACAGAATGAAAAAACAGAGAGGGCTAACAGAGCACCACACGGGAAATACAGATCAGGGAGCATTAGCTGACCACATTGCACTATGCCTGGGGCTAATTTATAGCTGAGCTGTTATGCACAACAATATGATTTTGTAATCTCTACACACCAAACAAGGTGCTTCCACGCCATAAAGCGTTATCTCAAGAAACCACACTGTGGTTAACGGTTACAGTTAAGGGGAAAATATAAATAAGGAGCAGCTGCTTGAATTCATTTTTATTACCATCTCCACTTAAAGTCCAAATCACTCATATATGAAGAATTTCAGCTTTGCAATGTTTACTACTGAAAATTTTAATTTTCTAACTAGGAAGTATATCTAAGGTAGGTGGGAAGGAGGAAAGCTGCCACTATGTCTGCATGCTCCTTTTAAATACAATAATTAGCTATATTTTAGTTAGTATGCAAATCACACTGATGAATCAACTGTTTCCACACCAGGAGCATGAAGTGTCATAGTACCACTGATAATACCATGAACTCACAAGAATTATCCAGCACATCCAGTTTGCATGCAGCACCACCTACATATGTGAATCTTTTCAAAAGTATGCTTACATGAATACTGATTTTTCCTCCAAAATCAAGTATTCATCAGCCCTTCCCTTGCCTCATTCCTTGGAGAAAATATTTATTAAAAATCCCAACACATTTGAAGGGTGCCTCTCCTATTCCCACTCAATGTCTCACTTCACCACATTAGTCCAGGCTGCAGAACACCTGGACAACCAGCTCATTTCCTCTATCTGCCCTTCTGCATCTCCTCCAGGCTAAGCCAACTGCAGGTTTGGAGAGCCAGTTCTGCCCTTGTGACAGTAATGCATCTCTCTCCTCAGATCTCCCTGCTATCATCTTCTCATCTGATTTCACTGCCAGTCAGTTTTCCTGCTCTCATCCTGATGATGTTGTTACTGGAACTCAGACTGGCTAGGTCAACATGCTGACCAAAACCTAAGTAACCTACTGCTTCAAAACATGCTCTCAAAATCCAGAAAATTCTGTGTGGGTGCTACCTCAAAATGAATTGCCATTTTTTAGGGGCTTGGGTGTGTTGATGGACATTTCTTCCCCCTTACAGTGCCATCCTGTCTCATCCTGACAACTGTAACCTCACAAATAGACAATTCTTTTCACTTTACCCGCTTGGCTTGTCAACATTACTTTAACTTTGCATGAGGAGTCAGACAAACATGCTGTTGGTGTTTAAATAGCAACTCATGCCTGCTAGGTATTGAGACCAAAAGCAAGCTTTTCATCTGCAACCAGATTTTTCCAATAGATTGTGTCTGCTTGTAGTAGCAAGGCAGCAGATGAAAATAGCAAAACCTCACATCTCCGAACTGTGCCACACTGATTTGTCCCACCTCTCCTGACCCCACAACTCACAACTCTCCCCTTTAAAACATTTCACAAGAGGTAAGACAGCAGAGGCTCTTAGCCTTCAAGGTTTCTTTTGTTTTTATAAGCAAGCAAGCAAGATACAATTCCACAGCAGTTGCTAAACTTACTCTGAAATCTTTGCAGTTTAGTTACTATCCTTGAGAGAAGGCCATACCAGCCAGAGAGCAGCCACTGCCTCACCACACATACTGACTGATCGATTACTCTGAATCTGAAGGTAAGCGAAGTCCAGTAAGTTAAGACTAATTATTTTAAGAGTAGGAGTAATGTCTGCAGAAAGACAGTACAGTTTAGAGCTTTTCTACAGTTAAAAGATTTGTTTAAAAACAGCTTTCATATATAACACTACTACTTTACTTTCAATGTGCTTTACAATTACGCCAGTTTCCTTAACTAACTACCTTGTTTTCCTTTTTAAGTCCATTTCTATGAACAATTGTTTGCACTAATGTCAGATTTTTTGTTTGTTAACTACCAACGAGTAGGATTAATGGCAGCATGGAATGTATTTTGCCTTATCCTGTCACACTTCACACACAAATTCCTATGTACTAGAAAATAATATGATCAAGGCTTGCTTTTTGTTTTTAGTAGAAAAGTAAAGAAACCCCACATACTCACACACAAGATAAACAACTAACTTGTGCTTCAGAAAAAACAAGCCATTTTTGAAAGACTGCTGTTTTACAGTACAGCCCTGTTGCTATGAAGTAACCTGATAATGCTTTGACCATAATACAATCTTCCATAATGACTGGCAGTTTTGAAGTCTCTACAACTTACCCTCTAAATGTAAGACTGGAAATACTTGGCCTGAAGGGACAAAGACTTGGGGGCAGAGAAGGCCATCTGTCAAATACACAGCTTTAATTCTTCATGCTGTAAACTCATCTGCACGTTATGTATTCGTGTAGCCACAGTTCAGTCAGGAAAACAGACATTTAGTTTACATACCTGCTAATGTAATCACAGAATCAGCACATTGGCACTTTTATTTCCAATGTTCCACTTTCTGATTGTTAAAAAATTAAAAAATGCAACTAAAATGCACTAACAGTAGGGAATTTTCTTTGTAAAATAGAGCGTCTAGATTTTAGTAAACTCACTCAAAATTAGGGAAGTCACACTAGCAGAGTCATTTTCAAAATTAGGAATATTGGAAGCAATTTACATAAATTTAAAAAACTACAGTCATCTAAGTTCAGTCTGCCCAGCTTGAAAAGTTCTAAGGAACATAGAGGCAGTCCTCCTAAGCACACACATTCAGAAAACAAGCACTGAAATCACCTCAAACACATATGCAAGGTACTCATCTCTTAGAATAAAATAAGTGCCTTTTCTTTTTTTTAAACGTCAGTGGAAGTAATATTATGCACCTAGGTTCAAGCCAGCTGCACTAATACAAGTTCTGAAGACATCTTTAAACAAATGTGTCTTCACTATTATAAAAATAGGGGTGTAAGTGAGGCAAATGAGAGAAAGGGCTGTGCTAAAAGAGCAAAGTCATTTGCTGGTGTCTGGTCCCTGGCAGCTCAGCAGAGCCCACTAACTGCAACTGAGTTAAGTCATTCAGCTTGGCAGAACCAATTTCACGTTGAACCATTACCTTTACTGGAGAGGCAAGGGTAGATACACCAGCCAAAAATGCCAGAAATAACACAGCAAACCGCATGAGAATGCCTCATGATGAGAAGTGGTAAGTAGTAAGTTGTTGGAAATGCTCAAGTCCAGTTAGCACAGAAAACTGTTAGTGATTCTTGTAATGGGAACTACTGGTATGCCTCAAACATTCCTTGTTTTTAAATGAAAACAAAAACTTTCTCACGTTCCTTTGCTTGACAGAAAACAAGGCAAAATGAAAAAATCTAATGTAAGCTTTGTCACTCCAGAAAACAAATTCTAAAACTTAGTGGGAACTTAAAACACTACAAGTTACAAATTTGCATTAGAGAGCAAAGCTAATTGTTAGAAAGATAGACAAGCTACTTTTACAGAGACGCCTTAGCAAAAGACTGGAGAATATGGCAATACAGGACAAACTTCAACAGGATAACTTCCACCCAAGGCAGATCCCCAAAAGCAAAGGTTCTGGAGGATCACCCCCTGGCCTGACAAGCAGGTAATGATGAGGGGATCCTCCACCCTGCTGGAAGATGGGAAGAGCCTGCAGAAAGCACTGACCCACACAGGGCTGATTTCAAAATCATAGATTAAGAAATGACAATAATACTGGCTTACATATTCAGGCACAATTTTGAAACTTTCCTGTTTCAGAGTCACTTGGTATACTGTTGTTAATACTGCTCTTGAAGTTCCGAAGGTAATTAAGATGTTTCACAGATGGTATCTTAAGCTTTATCTGGGAAATACCAGCTCTGCCCTTTCTATTTCCCAAAGCTGTGATCTTACATAATTGCAGTTATTTTGACATCACTCCCTTATGCCACATGACAAATACAAACTGCCTGTTACATTATACAGAGTACTCCCCTGTATTTTGCAACGAAGTTTTAAACCTAAACCAGGTGTTACCTGTTGTTATGGATTTCCCCAAGACAAGTTTCCATCATCTTGCCCATGCTTTATGTCTTCTCTCGACCACCCAACCCATTTGTGGAAAGATTCATCACACAGGCAAGTTGGCTACATCCTGATTAGCATTAGGTGGCCTTTTCTCTTTTAATATTATTGCTTGTAAATGCTGTTCCTGTTAGATGACAGATCTGCCCCAAGTGAGTGACAGAAGGCAGGCAAGGCAACTCTATACAACAGTGGTACTTTGAGAAATTTCCAAGTTTTGAGATATGTATTAGTTGTTAACTTGATTAACCTTCAAACTTTGTCTTTGAAGCCAGTTCATTTTAAAACACAAATCCTAACTCCTTAGAGTGCATCAACAAACTCTGCATGCACATTTTAGCATAGACATTAGGGAGAGAATTGCAAATTTCAAAATAAATATAAATTCCTTTTAAAAAAAGTGGACATGATAAAAACATGCAAAAGAGGTTTAGAAACTATATTAGAACATCTACTTGTAAAATTCCCCATTGACAGCATTCAATAAGAGATCCAATACTTACCCCGTGTAGTCACCCTTACTGATTTATTTATACAGTACCTTTTTATTTAATGCTTTGCGATTCTAACTAGCATTACTTAAAATGCTATTCACCTACATGAGCAAAGTAATCTGTAAGCAGCAGAACTAGCGAAAACACATTTCATTTCAATCATACTTCAGACTGGTTTTCTGACAGACTAATGGATTTACCATTCCAATGCTGTGTAAAATAAAGACTAAGATGTATTTCCTTCCATGCCTGCCCATATTTTGTTAAAAGAACTGATACTGCAGACTTCACAGGAAGGCTGAATACTGGCAACAAGCACATAAAAGCCCCTTCCTATGGGAACTATTTCAGGGATACAGCCCT